TTATTTTATTTTTGTTTCCTTAGAAAAACATTTCAGCGTCTGCAAATTCTATGAGAGAATATATGATGTGTTATAGAGAAACAGAAATCACCAGTTTGCCTTTTGGCATGTGTTTTTAAATTTCTTTCCTTTTTCTGTAAAATAGGCATAAAAAGTTTGAATTTGCTCAAACTTTTACGCTCAAATGATCTGTTTGTTTTTTTGTGTGTTTTGCTATCCCTACATTCAAGGCATTGCTTCTTTGATAACTGTCAACTAACGAGACAAAATTCATATCTTTGCTATTTTAATATATGGTATACGCTAAATCTGAATAGTTATTTTGTTGTGATACAGCATGTGCAAAGGCCTCTACTATCGTTTGGTCCTAAAGCTTCTACGCGTCGCAAAACTTGTCCAGTTAGTGTCTGCAAGGTACTGAATATACCAATTAACTCTTTTGAATAGAGTAAAATATTCGCAACTCCTTTGAGGTCTAATCAGTTCTTGAATAATCTATGGCAGGAGATAAGACTAGGTGCACACCTAATCAGCGACTTTTCTTCTGAAAGCTCTACAATGACAGTTGATGGTTCACTAAGTTCGGCTTGGCTTAAAGACTTGCAAAAACCATGGGGTCCACCTGTGCTTTCCCAGAACTCTGGTTCTAGAAAGAGTTCGACTTTTTTCCACTTTTGTGATCATTTGGTCTCAGTTCCTGGATCTGTATCACAGTTAATAGGTGCTTCATATTTACTCCGGGCTACTTCATGGGAGTTATATGGCAGGTATGATAGATATTGTCTTTGTTCTGTTTTCTTATTCCTGGAAAATTGTTTTCCACTCATATTCTCACAGTTTCTTCCATCTCCTTTAAAAGCTTATGCATTTTCACTCTAAGGTAACTAGAAAGGCCAAAACTTAATTCTCACTGCTTAAACCATTCATGTTGACGAACTCATTACTCATGCGGTTGTCCATTTGCTGACCTTACTTTTCTAACAACTAACAATATAAACTTGAACTGTTGGTTTTATGTAGTGTATTAATTCATTTCCTTTTCACCAGCGCTCCTATGGCTCGGATGAATACCTTGGTGTATGCAACTTTATTCGGAGACTCTTCAAGGTAATTTCCTCTAAATGTATCACTTTCTTGTTCGACCTCAGTCCCCTCTGTCTTTCTCCATTCGTTTTAAGTGATTTTATCTGTTTCTTGCATCTATAGTTCATCTGACGCAGAGTTAGCATACTTGAAGCTCATTCAACATTTGGCACTATATAATGGATACAAAGGTTAGATTCTGTGCACAAGGTCATGAATACCTGCCTCAGTCTTTCAATTCTTGAATGGACCAATATAAAAGTACCTTCATGATGATAGCTGAATATTATGATTTGTACAAGGAATATGAAGGCCATGTCACTGTAGAAAAGTCAGAACTTTCTGTTAATTTTTCTGAGAAAGTTCATATGTTATTGCTTCTATTGCATGCAGGAAATTTAATAAGATCTTGCTCCATGTTGTTTTCCCTGTGTTGACCTCTTTTCTGACCCAATGCTGTGCTAGATGCCTTTGCTGCTCTTAAGATTGCGGAGGAAAAGTTCTTAACCATATCAAAATCAAAAATATTGTTGCTCAAGTTGCAGCTACTACATGAACATGCCTTGCACCGGTAAGGTTCCCAGTCTTCCATACATGCTACTCCTCTTGGTATACTCTCTCTTAGTATAGATTAGCTTCATGGTTAGGAGAAAGAAGGGTGTGTCTAATCAATATCTCCTCCTCCCCCATAAGATATTCCGTGCCAGAGTCCCACTATTTTACAGCACTTCGGAATTCTGAAGAAAATGCTTTTTGTTTGATCTTTTGCTTAAACAACCTCATAAAACCAGCAAAGTTGATTCACTTATCTTCCTTCTCTCACTTAATGTTATGTTTGAAGGTTATGTAGAATGGATTAAAATGCTTTGAAACTGTATAAAAACATTATTGGGATATAGAATTTGAACAGAGGCTTTCTATTGTACTGGAAATATTTTAACTAAAGTCAGCTGTTCTAACTTTGTTAAATCCATTAGTGGGAATCTAAAACTAGCTCAGCGAATGTGCAATGAGCTAGGAGGCTTGGCATCAACCACCATGGGTGTAGACATGGAGCTGAAGGTAGAAGCACGTCTTCGTGAAGCTCGAACCTTGCTTGCAGCAAAACAGTATAGTCAGGTTTGTAATAAATCCTTCACCATCTGTTTTTAAGCCCGTGTGCTATCTGTAATTTCAGCCATGTTCTATGCTTTGTTAGTTTATCTTCATTTTTCTTTGGTACTACGTTCTCTACAGGCAGCAAATGTGGCACATTCTCTCTTCTGCACATGCCACAAATTTAATTTGCAAATCGAAAAGGCGTCAGTTCTTCTTCTGCTTGCAGAGATCCATAAGGTATGACATAGCTACAAGAACCTAATAGCTTGAGAGCACACTGATTGAAATCTGATATTCCATTGAATATTTGTTCCACTTTACTGGATTGCAGTAGAAACAGTTTGTTTCCTGGACTTTTTTGTCCTCCCTTGCATAGCTTAACATGCCTGTATTTCTTCTAAAAATTATCTCTCTGCTGCTTGGTCTTAGAATACATGTTATTATTTTCAGTTCTTTATTAGTTTTCTGACCCGCCTTCACCTTTTGCTTCCTCCATTTTGGTTCTCAGAAGTCAGGAAATGCAGTCTTGGGCCTTCCATATGCGCTGGCAAGCATCTCGTTTTGCCAGTCATTCAACTTGGATCTTCTCAAAGCATCATCTACTCTCACGCTGGCCGAGCTGTGGCTTGGTCTTGGATCAAATCATGCAAAACGAGCGTTAGACCTTTTGCATGGGGCTTTCCCTATGATTCTTGGCCACGGAGGTCTGGAGTTGCGTGCACGAGCATACATCTTTGAAGCAAACTGCTATCTGTCTGATCCAAGCTTTTCAGGTAGCTTTTGTTGTCTTTGTACTGCTTTGACTATGGTTCATGCTTCTTAGTTGCATGATCATGATTTTTATATGAAAGGGTTATGCATTGCCACACCCAAATAGATGGCTTTGGATCCTAAATGGGATCATCTGAGAATGACATTAGGGTTGTGTATCATAACCTAAGCGAGGATGTCTAGTAACATAATGAATAGAATCTGACTCTATGGATAAATTTTGTCTTGGTCGTTGCAAGTTTCTAATTGGTTCTGACTTTCTTTGTTGGGCTGTGAATAAATTTCACCAGTTTCCACAGATTCTGACACGGTCCTGGATTCTCTAAGGCAAGCTTCAGATGAGCTTCAAGCTTTGGAGGTAACTTATGCCAATAAGAATGCTATATGTAGCCTTTGTTTCAAAATAAGAATGCTATGATGCTTTTGATTCAAACATAAACCCAACTTTTATGACTAGGTCGAGCTTCAGTTTAGCTCTTCATAACCGAAAAAATAGAATCTTAGTACCATCATTTACCGTTGGTTCACTGACTAATTGTTGTGTGTATTGTGTGCAGTACCATGAACTGGCAGCTGAAGCTTCGTACTTAATGGCAATGGTATACGACAAGCTGGGACAGCTTGAAGAGAGGGAAGAAGCAGCGGCTTTGTTTAAGAAGCATATCATAGCTCTCGAGAACCCTCAAGACGTTGAAGCAAACATGGCATGAGAGTTTGTGACCTTTTTGTGCAAAGTTTGTAACTTAAAATTGTAAACATGTTCCTTAATGTCCGAATCTTGCTGAGATGTGTAGCTTTACTTTAATGAATGACTTAGAGTAAAAGTGACTTGCAACCTTGTAAAGTCTTAAAAAATGTTAAACGACTGAAGAAATCGTCGAGGTAATTTGATATGGATTCTCCGACATGTTTCGAATTAGAAGATGCGGATAAAAGACTCCTTAATAAAGACTTGATTTTTTTTTTTTAAACTATTGCATCCCCAAAACGACGCCGTTACGGTAAAACAACCTTGCTACCTTGTCAAACGACATCATGTAGAAACAAGTAACAAAAAGCATATCTAAAACCTCAACGGGGCGGTAATTAGTTTCCTCCCTGCTCGCCGGAAAACTGCTCGCCGGCGTTAGATTTTCGTTTAGGGTTCTCGGCTCGACTTTTGAAATCCCTCGGATGCGGAGATCGATTGCAATCGGGATTGCGTTAACGGCGAAAGGTTTTCTTCATCGGCATCTTTTGGAGAAAGGTAATCCTGCAACTGCTCTCTTTCGTTTCCGAGCATTTTCCGGTGGCTGTGATTACAGAGAGAGATTGAGAAGTGGGTTTCACTCTATTAAGTTAGACGATGCACTTGATTTATTCTGTGACATGGCTGAGTCTCGTCCCCTTCCTTCCATTGTTGATTTCACTAGATTATTGATTGCTATTGCCAAGATGAACAAGTATGTTCTTGTTATCCATCTGTTCCGGCAAACGGAAAATCTGGGGATTCCACATGATCTCTATAGCTTCAGTATTTTGATTGATTGTTTATGTCGATGCTCTCAACTCTCTATTGCTCTATCTTGTCTTGGGAAGATGATGAAGGTTGGTTACGAACCTAGTGTAGTAACATTAGGCTCACTGGTCAATGGATTCTGTCGCGGGAATCGAATTTACGATGCCATGTCTCTGGTTGATCAAATGGTTGGATTGGGATACGAATCGAATGTTGTAATCTACAACACGATTATTGATAGTCTTTGCGGAAACCAACTTGTGAATACCGCGCTTGATGTTTTCAACCATATGGAAGATATAGGAGTTCGACCTGATGTTGTTACCTACAACTCTCTCATTACTGGCCTTTTTAATTGCGGTATATGGGGTGTCTCCGCTAGACTACTGAGCCATATGATGAAGAAAGGAATCAACCCGGATGTAATCACTTTCAGTGCTATGATCAATGCGTATGTGAAAGAAGGGGAGCTTTTAGAAGCTAAGAAAGTGTACAAGGAGATGATCCGAAGGTCGATAAATCCCAATATCGTCACTTACAATTCATTGATCAACGGGCTTTGCATTCACGATCGTCTACATGAGGCTAAAAATATGTTTCGTTTTATGGTAAGTAAAGGTTGCTTCCCGAATCTAGTGACTTATAATACTCTCATAAATGGATATTGCAAGTCTAAGAGGGTAGATGAAGGGATGAAAATCTTCTGTGTGATGTTGCGCGATGGACTGGTTGGTGACTCATTCACTTACAACACTCTTTTTCAAGGTTATTGTCAAGTGGGGAAACTTAATGCTGCGCAAAAGGTTTTGTGTCGGATGGTTTCTTGCGGCGTGCCTCCCGATATTTTTACCCACAACATTTGGTTAGACTGTCTATGTGAGCATAGGAAGATAGGGAAAGCATTGGTGATATTGGAGGAGATGCAAAAGAGTGAAATGGTTCTAAGTATTATTACATATAATATCATCATCAAAGGAATGTGCAAGGGTGATAAAGTGGAAGATGCTTGGTATTTATTTTGCAACCTTGCACTCAAAGGAGTAATGCCTGATGTTATAACCTTTGTTACAATGATGATAGGATTGCGTAGGAAAGGACTATGGCGTGAAGCGCACGAGCTGTATAGAAAAATGAAAGAAGATGACTGGAGGTATAAAAGAGGTAATTGGGAGCCATCTTAGAGTTCTTAATCGATACAGATGCTTCTGACTTTAAGGTTTGGCTGTTGTATGATCGGAATCGGACAAACTCTTAGTTAGGCTTGAAGGATGAATCAAATTTTGGGTGGTGACTCCAGCATTAGATGTTGTAGGTGTAGTTTTTGGTACATACATACATGTAAAGGTTATGTCATTTGTTGTACATAAAAGCTAATATTGCTTTTACCATGTTGTATGCTTTAATCTTCAACTTTGTTGTAACATTTCGTAGACAATCAGATCTCCATTTTTGTTTTCAATCACCAACCGAAACTGACACTAGATTCAATGTTTGCCTCAGCATCACTTTGGATAGTGTGTTCACGTATTTAAGTATAATAATATTTTGATTTTGTGAACAATATAGATAGGTCTTACACAGTTACACGTCAGCACTCCGAAAGGACAAGGATAACGAACCAATCAGCTGCTGGCTACTGCTACAGAACAAGCAGCGAGTTCCAACACGTAACGTAACGCTTGAACGCTTCTTTTTAATCAAAACCTGACCGTACACGTGTACACTTTAACGTTCCATTAACAGTCAACATAAGACTTCTCATGACGATCTTTTACTTTTCTTACCTTAAAATAAAAATAAAATCCTTTATTTATGGTCGTTAGGTTCAACGAACCACACTCAGTTTCCGTAGCAGAATGGTACACGAAAACGCCGCCGTATCGGAGACTCATCAGCAGAACGGCGCTGCGTCGCCGGGATTCAAGCTCGTCGGATATTCAAAGTTCGTGAGGAAGAATCCAAAATCCGATAAATTCAAAGTGAAGCGTTTCCACCACATCGAGTTCTGGTGCGGCGACGCCACCAATGTTGCTCGTCGCTTCTCATGGGGTCTCGGTATGCGATTCACCGCAAAATCCGATCTCTCCACCGGAAACATGGTTCACGCCTCTTACCTACTAACCTCCGGCGACCTCCGATTCCTTTTCACCGCACCGTATTCTCCGTCTCTCTCCGCCGGAGAATCTCGACCGATCGCTACATCTCCAATCCCAACCTTCGATCACGTCTCTTGCCGCTCCTTCTTCTCTTCCCATGGACTCGGCGTAAGAGCCGTCGCGGTTGAAGTCGAAGACGCAGAGTCAGCTTTCTCTATCAGTGTCGCAAACGGCGCAATTCCTTCGTCGCCTCCGATTCTCCTCGACGAATCCGTTACGATCGCTGAGGTTAAACTATACGGCGATGTTGTACTCCGATATGTTAGTCATAAAGGAGAAGTCAACACCGATTTCTTGCCTGGATTTGAGCTGGTGGAAGATACGTCGTCGTTTCCATTAGATTACGGTATACGTCGGCTTGATCACGCCGTGGGAAACGTTCCCGAGCTTGGTCCGGCGTTGACTTACATTGCAGGATTCACTGGTTTTCACCAATTCGCAGAGTTTACAGCAGACGATATTGGAACAGCTGAGAGTGGTTTAAACTCTGCGGTTTTAGCTAGCAATGACGAAATGGTTCTTCTACCGATAAACGAGCCAGTGCACGGTACGAAAAGGAAGAGTCAGATTCAGACTTATCTTGAACATAACGAAGGTGCAGGGCTACAACATTTGGCTCTGATGAGTGAAGACATATTCAGGACTCTGAGAGAGATGCGTAAGAGAAGCAGTGTTGGAGGATTCGATTTTATGCCTTCTCCTCCGCCTACTTATTACCGGAATCTGAAGAATCGGGTTGGAGATGTGCTCAGCGATGAAAAGATCAAGGAGTGTGAGGAATTGGGGATTCTTGTTGACAGAGATGATCAAGGGACATTGCTTCAAATCTTCACAAAACCTCTTGGTGACAGGTATATATACACATAGAAAATTCCGTAAAACATGTTAGGCTTAATCGAATTCGCTAAGATGATTGTTTGTGTTGATAGGCCGACGATATTTATAGAGATAATACAGAGAATAGGATGCATGGTGAAAGATGAAGAAGGGAAGGTTTACCAGAGTGGAGGATGTGGTGGTTTTGGTAAAGGCAACTTCTCTGAGCTCTTCAAGTCCATTGAAGAGTACGAGAAGACTCTTGAAGCTAAACAGCTTGTGGGATGAAGAAGAAACCAACTAAAAGATTTGTAATTATTGTAAAACTGTTTAATGTTATACATATAGAAAATTATGATTACAAAGATGTTTTTCCTCTGTCTCATGTGAAAAACGAGATCAATACAAATACCATCTTAGGTTCAAAAACAATGTATAAACCACCATTAATATGTGGATTGTCTTAGATCAGGAATCAGCATTTGACAGCTTAATCCTTGGCTGAATTTAGCTATGAAGAACCCGATGGTATCGAGCTCAGATGATGGATCGAATTTCTGAACCATTTCTTCTTCGCCGGGTTTTTACCACTCCCTCCAAAAAATAACTCGGTTCAGTTACTGGAATATATAGTCAAAGACTAAGAGCCATCTTATATCATCAATCTTTTAAAGTTTTGATTTGTTGAATATTAGATCACTCTCTCGAGTATAGATGCTTACTCGATATATCTGTCCGCGAATTCACATCGACCAACTATACCAGGTCCTCCAATCCTCGGATGCTGCAACAAGACACCAAACATATGGAGATACATTAGGACGAAGAACAAGATCCTAATGCAATATTTTCCAAGATCTCCAACATTTACTTAAATATTTATGTGCCTTCAATTCGACAGACGTAAAGGTATGTTAGATCCAAACCTGTAGTGCTAAAGAAAGAATGTAGTAACTCTCAAGACTACGTGACAGAGGACAGATCTCACTCCATGTTTGGATAATGCAAATTCAGAATCAATGAATTTCATATTATATTTGCATAGTTACAAAATTTTGATTCTACGATTTAGAAACATATTAGACTATCATTTTAAAGTACTTTAAATTTTTTCAAATCTCTTTTTATTCAATTTTCTTCTTTTTCTATGTTTTTATCTGATACGTTTTAGTTCTATATTGGACTTTCGTTTCAGCTAATCTTGTGAATGCCATAAAAGTTATAGAAAATTTGGATTGTAAGTATAAGATGTTAAGCGTGAAAGAAATTTGTCTTATTGCCTCTCCAGGAAAAAATTTATATCGTAAGAGAAACCACAAGTATCATATACGGTTTAGTAGTGGCGGTCTAGAATACATCAAAATGAATAAAATGTGTATACATTTTGGCAAGCAAGACTTTGAGCGCAAAACTTGTTATCGAACAAAAAAATGTATGAGATGATCAAGATAAAAAAAAATGCACTCCTTATTGGTGTCTTTTGAAGAAAGTGTTTAAACGTCTTACTCTCCAACCAATCGGCGCAAACTACATGTGTTCACTTTAATGGAGGTCTAAATGCAACATGTGGTCTTAAGCTAGAAGATGATCATTATGCTTCTTATGATTTTGACGAACCAACTCCACTAATATCAAAATTTATATTTCAAATGTTCAATTTGTTAGGACATGTATTAGAACGGTTAAAAAGTTTGAGATACTTTGGTTGATTTACTAATGTTCAACAATAGTCTTGTATCGAAACCCTCCCCTTCGAAATGAGGGAGTAGTTGATATAATGTATGCATTTTCGAAGAGAATTTTAGCTTTAGTTAGCATCGAACTCTTTCCATTCAAAATCGGGGAGGGGATTATCGCACGGAATTTGTTCAACTTTGAGATACTCGATCATCTTAACCTTGTCAGGAGAATCCGCCCCAAGTAAGATTTCTCTATCCCTTTTTCCATATTGTTTGTTTATTTCTCTAATCAATTGATCCATTTTTCTGTTTCTAATCAATTCGACATGTCGTTGTGAAACCTCAGGCTATATGAGAGGCCATATGATAGTCTTTTGGGATTTTGCGGATATCCCAATCCCTATGGGTCTTTGTCCTTCTACGGTTAAAGATCATTTCATATTAGCCCTTGAGAAATTGGAATATTATGTTGATTTTATTACATTCTGGCTTTACGTACACGAGCAAAAATTGTCGGATGATATAGTGAAGGACTTTCAACTTGCTGAACTGGACTTCATTGACAAAGGTTAATCCCTTAGCGTTCTCTTTTTTTTTTAAATGTCTCTAATCTAAATCAGCTTTTCTTGAAGCTGAGGAGAGTTATTCTTGCACCTCTTCATCCCTCTTTTACTATGATGAGGAGCAACCACTACGTGATGAAAAAATCTAATCTCTTGGTCATCTCACAAAGACATAACACAAGACCCCTTGTTGCTCAATACTGTTAATTGTTTGGGTTTTAGAGATTATTGATCCTTTTGTCTTCTACATAACTTCTTATAAACACTAATTAGAAAAAACTAAACAAGGATTCTAATAAATTTATTTGCATAAATCGAAGAATTTGATTACAAAACAATCTCATCTTTGAGTAATTTTTGTTCAGCTAATCAAATGCATTATCGTAATTGTGATTACAGTCTGATCTTTGCATTTGATTATGGTCCAACCTTGTGTATACAACAAAAAGACTAGTGTTTCTATTTTAAGCAAAATATGTTAGGTTTCATCGGATTTGCTAAGAATCTCTCTTTCGATGTGATTGTTTGTGTTGATAGGCCAAGGAAATTAACCAACCAAAAGATCTGTAATTAACGTAAAACTCTTTTATGTTATACATATTAAAAAAA